AAAAAAGCTCGAAAACTAAATTGTATACTAAAAAACATTTTTCATTTTGATGGATTTCCGAGCAAAAACGAGAAATTTATAGCTACACTGACGTGCCTTGCAATCGAGCCATCAGAATTTGTCTCGACCACGATGATGACGACGACGATCGTTTTTATTTCACGCAGTAATGCCCGCGTGTATTATACGCATCTATTCGACGCGAACGTAAAATTGAAAAATTATTTTTGCTGCTCTCTCTCTCTCTCTCTCTCTCTCGGACCAACCAGCTCTTTCTCTCGATAAAAATAACAATTGGAAAAATATACGTTGGGCTCGTTAGATGCTCTCGGGATTTTGGACATTTTATACCGTATACAGCTACCTCGCGTGTCCCCTTTTACGAGCGATAAGTCACAACACACAACACACTCGACGTCGAATATGTTTTGCCAATTCCTCAGCGATTCTGGCTCGCGTTGGCCTTTCGAGAAAGGGAGAAAAAACATCTGCGATGGTCGCTCAACTGCGATGGTCGGTTGTGTCCAGCAGAAATCCTAGGCACTGTCCCCTTTTTTCCAATGGCGGAGTTAGAGAGAAAGAGAAAAACCAATATTCTCTCTCTCTTTCTCTCGATACACTCGACAAATCGCCGCCGCTCGAAACGCTCGATTTTTCTCTGTTTGTCCACTCTTTACAGCCGGCTTTTTTCTCTCTCTTTTTTTTCTCCTCTCTTTTTTTTCTGTCTGTAACCTGATAAATAGGAAAAGCCAGGAGGTCACACAGCGGTGTAAATTGCCCCGAAGGATCGTTATATTATGGCTTCCACTACGGTGGTGGGGGAGAGAGAGAGAAAAAGAGAGGGTCACAATCTCTACGCGACACTAAACAATGAAAACTCGTTGCAGCAGTTGCAGCAGCAGCTACAGCTACCCCAAAGGTTAATATGCGGGCAGCTAAAGAGAGCGGATCGCGGCGCTGGACAATGGCCGAGATTTATGAGCGCCTCGAAAGCAGTACAGTTTGGATTTTAGAAACAGAGATTGCAGAATTTTCGAAACCCCATAACTCGACGCGCACACGCGTTTCATATAGGCTACTTTTCACTTTGCGCATTTTTCATTCGCATCGGCGGCGGCGGTGGCGGTGGCACGCGCAGCTCCTCTCTGCCTACGCACACGCATTTACACACGGATGAGTTTTTGTATTATATCGAACTTTTATCCGGATCGTGTGGGTGCTGACGAGCGCAAGCGGCTATTTGATCGGCTGGCTGCGAATTTACGAGCGCAGTAAGCGACACCGGGATCGTGGTCGTTTTTCGAAAATTCGTAACGGATGGGGTATAACTGGAATTATATCTGCAGCCTGAAAATTGCAATTTATATATATCTCTAGTGTCTATTTGTATGAGTCAATGGACCGATCGGATTGTTTACGACTTATTATATTGTATCGTATAATATGAAAGCGGCGCGTGGGTCCTGTCAGCTTGTTATTTTTTTTTTTCTAAAAGTCTACTCCGAGCTTCTGCTACTACCTCAAATGCTGCTGCTGCATATGCCTTAGAGCTGCGTCAACAAATTTAAAAATCTCGAAAACACAGGTATGTGTGTACACAAACGCCGCTTCGATCTGTATGTATGAGGATTTCGCCACGGATATTAAATCTTTCGAGCATTTCACGCCTACGTATTACTGTTATTATATTGAGGCGCGCGCGCGCTTGCCTACGGCCTCCTGCGCCTTTTTTTCGGCTATGGACACACATAAAACACGGTTCGATCAATACTACTGCTATTCCCGATTTTCGTATATATTTGTTGACTTCTCTCTCTTTTACATCGAAGAGGATAAATTTTACGCTGCTGAATCGGCCGATTTTCTTATGTGTGTATTGCACAATGGGGCTTGTATAAATAACCATTCTCTACGCTTATAAATCCTTGTAAACATGTGTTCAAACAAACACAGAGGACTGTGGAGTGAGACTTTTTTTTTAAATATAGCTGCGAGGAAAAAAGAAAGTCTTTGAATGATACAACTGCATGAAGATGGTTTTGGTAAGAAGCTACATAAAATTAAGTGAAGTAATATACGAAATGCAATATGAAATGTGCAGCAAATATCCACACAAGCATAAATCAAAATTAATGAATTTTTGCTTGAGAGTTGATACAGTCACATAGTTTTGTCAATCGGCCTAAAAATAGAGCTTACTCACATAACCGCTCGTCGTATCACGTGTCGATTCTCAATTTGAGAGAAAAAGTTGTGTGGCCAATGGTCAGTAGTCTTGGTCGTCACCCCCGTCGTTGGGGATCGTTATGTAACGCGAAAATGTGCGTGTGTCGATATATTTTATTTCGATAAATCCCACGTCGTGCCGCGCGTATATATACAACCAGTTATATATCTGGTCGTGCTGTAAAAGGGAAAAATTTTTCGGCCGTCGTCAACCCCCCCGGAAATTCGGACCTTTCTTTTGGCAAAATATATATAAAGCGGCGGCACAGTTGTGTTAAATATAAAAATATATCATAAATGTGAGTGAGTCCAGTTTTTCGCTCTCACGCGGATCGCCGCGATGTATATCATATATATATGACTTTGTGCTGCAATTTTCACTGTGGTCAGGGTTGAACCCGGTTTTTTAAAAAAATGTTTTCTATCGCGTAGCGCCTGAATAAACATAATTGCTTGTTATCATGTCTCTTGACGTTTTATGCAGTTAGCTCATTCAGATGTCGCATTCTTTACCCTACAAACGGTCAAATTAACTTATAGGCATATAAGGCGTAGAAAATAAATCTACCTATTGTCATATTCCCGCAAATCCCACGCGAAGCGAGGTAGCTGCGCGACTGCATCGCGACACCTTCAGAGAGATAGACCAGCGTGCCCCAAGGGAGAATGCCAATTTTTTGCAGGTGCTCGAGCGCGGCTCACTAATTCGTATACAAAGCATTCTAGACAATCTAACCACCAGAAGTGAAACTTCAGAGTCCTTTTCTTCGGTTGAATTTTCATTTTTGAATTTTCTTAAATTTAACTCGATTTTGAATGATGGTTGTCCTTAGACAGCTAATTGTATAATTTTATTAATGTTTATTTTTATTTTTAATAAATAAATGTGAAACAATGAGTTCAGATTTTCTTATTGATAAACACATGATCGTTTAAGGAGGTTCGATAGCACTTTCAAGGGGCAGGCGGGGCGAGGGGGTCGCCTATGCTTATACACGGGCACGAAGTAGTGATACCAACTCATGGGAACAAAATATTATTAGCAAAACAGCATGTAGCGGCCGCACGGCACTTATAGGCGAAACTGCTTAACTTCTATCTCGCTGAAAAACCCCCTAAACGCACTTAAAAAAAATATGTGACTTATGATTTCGATTGGAAATTTCCTCAGCTTTCCGATGATAAAGTCAGATTTTCAAAAATTTTCCATTTTCCACGGAAAATTGTAAAAATAAACTTTTAACATTAAATATCTCAAAAAGAGCATTTTTAAGATTTTTTAAAGTAGTCTCAATCGAAAGCTGAGGAAATTTCCCATCGAAATACATATTTTTCATAGAGTACATTTTATTTTTACTTGCTGAAATACAGCGATGAACGTGTAAAAACGCGACATTTCGGCTCGCGTGGCTCAGAATCTCACGTTTTTAGACTTGTTTATTGAGCATTCGGTGTTGTAAAACGAGTCGTTTTTTTTCAAAATGATCAATACCTTCTTGGCTTTCTAAAAAATAGTTTTTTTTTCATTTCTTAAGTCTAATTCGTTTGCATAATGCTTTTTTTGTGACATTGTTGTAACTTTCCCCATAAGACCCATGTATAAGACGTCGTTTTTGATTTTTTTTTTCTCGAAAACTAGATTGTAGATCAATCTATGATTTTAACAGTGCATTCAGTTCTTATCAAAGATTGAAATAAAAAAGTTTCAGGCGTTTCTAAAGACATGAAGTTTACTATCGAACCTCCTTAATATCTCAATTTGTGTATTCACTACCATGCCACCTTATCGAGATCAAAGTTATTTGTGCCACCCAACGATGACATGAAAATTTAATCAATGATTCAAATTTTAGTATTTAAACAAAGAGAGAAAAAAAGAACAACTCAGAAAAAAATTAAAACACAATAAAATAAAATTAAAATTAAAAAAAAAAAAAAAACACCACGTATCTGTGATAGAGTTTTATCAAATTTCAGCAACAAAAACTCAAACAGAAAAATACATAAATTTGCCATTAATCTAACAATTAATTCAAGCCTATATTACACGGAGAGAAGAAATATAGTAATAATTTCTTTAAAATTTGGAAAAATTACTATAGGTCTCAATAAAAGTGACATATGATCGTTCGGGTGAAAAGTTGCTATAAAATGTATAAAAATTATAAGAAATAAAATAAAAATTGAGGGAATTATAGTAAAAATTACAAAGGTTTTTAGTAAATTTTTTCCTAACCCCAAAGATGTCACACTTTTATTAAGACCTAGAGCAATTTTGACTATACATTTTTCTTCGTGTAGTGTTCAAAAAATAACGACACATTGGCCGCTAGAGGGATTTTTATTTGGTTTTTTCAGTGAGCGTGCGCGCGCGTGGACGTGAGTGAAGGACGGTGAGAGTAAAACACATGGCCAATTGTTTTTTCGTGATAAATCTAGCTCGCAGTCCGAGTGCACAGCAGCAATAGCAACAGCACCAGTTACTTGTGAAAATTAATTCCTGTTAAATCCCAGTGAAACCAACAAGTTTTTTTCCCAACGCAATACCTTAAAATTGTTATCCTCAACTTAGCCGTTTGGACATTGGCACTTGTAATTACATTATTGAGGCTTTGAAAGCGATAATTTCAAGGATTAGTGCGGAAGTGATTTCGACCACATGTTTGGTTCTCAGTTTAGTACAAGACTCAAAATTTTGTGCCACGAAATTCAATATGTTGACTAGAGTATTTACTAACAAATTTTGTGAAAATGGAGTAAAATGTTACTTAAAAATGATATATTCAGTGAAATTTAGACGTGAAGAATTTTGTTATTTATACGAAAATGATGCTTGGGGGGATGGGTCGACGAGCAAAGTTTTAGATAAATTAGTAAATGACGACGGCATTTTTCCCAGGGCCGAAGATAAAGCATTTTTATTTCAATATGCTCTGGACGAAAGACATTTAAAAATAATTACAGCTCTCGAGAAGGGTAATTTTGATAGACACGAGTTTAGATTCGAAGATGGAAAGTCTGCTGTGCATTATTTAGCTGAAAGATCCAAATCCGAAAGGGTGATAAAGCGAGTCAATAGATCCCTCATTAAAAATTTCTTTCTGAACCATTCACGGCAAGATTTATTTCGAAATTATCCACGAAAAAACTACTGCGACGCTCACGGTTACACGTATTTTCACGCAGCCTGCATGGTGGACGATGTAAGAGTCGTGAGGAAATTTTTGAGCCAAGGCGTGAACGTCAATCTTGACACGTACACATGTTCGCCTCTGTTCATTGCGGCCCAGTACAAGAACGTAGAAATCGCGGAATTATTACTGGAACACAGAGCCAATCCGAATCAGTCGGACCACGAAGGATCGACGCCTCTTCACGCCCTCGCATTGCCGTGTCTGTGTGAATGCATCGAAAGATTTTACTACTGCGATACGAGAAAACCAGTCGATTACATCGTTAAAATGCTCATCGACAGCGGAGCCGATATCGAAGCCCGAAATCGTCACGGAGACACTCCGTTGCAGTCGGCGGTGATGCGTTTCGATGTCGCCCTCACCAAGTCGCTTTTGGATCACGGCGCGTCACTGAGGAGTCTGAACGAGAAGCGAATGTTCATTCACAATTTCTCGTCGCTCGAATTGACGACTTACGCTTTGTCGTTGGACGTTATCGAGGTGATGCAATTGTTGCAGTCGGCTGGATACAAAATGGATTTCCACACGAAACTCAGAATGGTCGAATGCTGGACAAGGATTCATGGAAACGATCTCGACCGGGTGCTGGTGAAAGATTCCGGTAGGAAATATCATTCAGCGGGTAATAAGAATCAAGTTGTCGATATCTTTGTACAAATGGCTGATCAACTAGCTATTCACAAGCTCTATGGTTTTTATATGAAACCAGAAGTTAAAGATTACATGATAAAACGATGCAAGCAGTTAAAACCAACAGTTCCAGAATACTGGCGCAACTATGTTAATTTTAATGGAGGTGATATTATACGTGAACATGGCGCATATCTTCTAAATAATGCTCTTGTACTTCCGAAAATAAATGACATCAAGATAACCGAAGACGTCTCTCTACATAAACTTAGTACAACGAATTACAGCGAGGGTTACTCGATATTGAAGAACATTAAAAATTGGCGTGTCCCACAAATGGATAATTTAACGTGTGGAAGTACATTCGCGAGATTCACTGTAAGGAGACACCTCTCAAACATTGCTATAAGGCTGGCGTTCGATTTGGAATTGCTGGCAGCCGATCTTTTCATGACTGATTATTGCTCGTTGAATCTTCCACACCACATTTGCCTAAAAGTTGCAAAAAATTTGGGTTACGAGGAACTATTTCGTCTGTTCGAGAAAATAAACGTTGATGAATTAGAAAAACTAGGCGAAAGTGTCGAGGGCACGAACCAGAATGGAACCATGGAACACAGAACCAGATTCGTTCGACTTGCATTATAAGATAGACGAGAAATTTTACCAATTATAAATGAAAATAAAAATTTTGAAATACAACTGGTCCAAAGTCTCTGGGCTCATATCTACTTTCAAATCATTTTTATGTAACTAATGTATAAATATATAGTTATATTAAATTTTCAAAAATAAAACAAATAAATTTTAAATTTTAATAAGCATGTTTAATACTTCTCTAAATAACCTTCATTGACTTCATATTCATAATAAAATTCACTTTTGTCTCTTTAGCGCGTTTTTTTGTTGTTTTTGTTTTGTTTGGCTATCTCTCTTGTTTTTTTTATTTATTGCTAGATTTAGTTTAGTTTTTTTTTAGTTTGTTTGCTGGGTTCAATCAGGCACTGACGCCATATAATTTGAAATTTGGGGGACTGAACCGTGCCCAGACGGTACACCCGGGCCGCGACGGTATCCCCCTCGTGGGAGATCAGTTGGAGTACGCAACAGAGCTACACGTTTGTGATTCGCACAGCAGTCATTTCTGTACAGAGAGTTTCGAGGTTATAGTCGGAGAAGTACGAGTGAAAAAATCACGTCGTGACCGACCACGTCGCATTGAAGAGCGTGCAAACAGCTAAGGACCCGCGGGCAGATTAGCCCGTTGGGCGCTGGCGCTTGGTCTGAAAAAACGCATGTCGAATTTTTTTAGTTACTACTAATTTTTTATTAAAAATTTAAGTAAAGAATTAAAAGAGAAAAAAATCTATCAGAATTAAAAGAAAAGAGATATCTTGTGTCCAAGTACTTAAAATCTACATTATTTGTAAATTGATTAAGAAAGAAAAATGAATGAGTAAAAACCTTATATGGATCTAAAACCCAAGCAGTTAGTTTATATAAAAAAATGTATTATACTTGTTTGATGAATTTGGTAATCCTACTAGAATCGGAATGAATTATCAACATCTGACAATATCTAAATTATTGATGCTGAGCGCAGCAAAGTCGTACACATTCGATATTGCTAATTTTCGATGTTTTACTCTAATTAACTGCGATAACTCCTGCAAGGATAAACTAATCGATCTGAAAATTTTACATAGCATTCTTAAGGTGTTGACGGAGTGCTGTATACTTTTTTAACAACATCCGTGTAACCTATTATGCTAAAAATGCATTTTTATGCAATTTTGAGTTTTGCATCAATATTCTTGAGTAAATTTTGCAATATATATTATGTGGGTTATTTATGGGTAATTTTTTTATGCAATAGTATGACGAAAAATTTCTTTTTTCGCACATTTTTTAGTGTACAAAAAGCGTTTTTGGACACTTGTGTGCCGTAAAATGCCTCGTTTCGACACTGGTGTGTGGTAAAATGCCTCATTTAAATGAACGTATTTTACGCCTACTATTGCATAAAATTTTGTATGCAACACGTGCCCAGCTTTTTGCGCACAGTGTGCCGAAAAAACACACACTCGTGCCCAAAAACGCCTTTTGGGCACTTGTTACATAATAGTTATTTATGAGACACTAGTGCCGGCTATGCCGGCACGAGTGGGTGTTTTTTCCGCACACTCGTGACCAAAAACGCCTTTTGGGCACTTGTTACATCAATAACTATTTTCGTATACATTCGATATTGCTAATTTTTGATGTTTTACTCTAACTGCGATAACTCATGCACAAAAAACTCATTGAAATATAGATTTATTGTGATACTCATTGAAGCTACTATTATTAATTTCATAAGGCTGAAACAAATATTTTTTTATTTAACATTCAGTCGCACAGCATTTTACAACTATGGTTGCCACTAGAACATCTGACAATATCTAAATTATTATATAATTCTAATAATAATATTGCAACATTATTCAATGAATTGTATAGTCTTTTTTTATAACGATCATGATAAAACAGTATATTTTAAAACGTTTGAAAATCACTACATTAATCCAACGATGTTTGTAAGATTTTAAAGGGACGATCAGCCGATGCCTCTACTACTTTCGAAAACTTTTATAATTTACTTTAGGTGGTACCATGACCAGATGATACCATTTTCGTAATTTACAATTCAAATTACAAAATTATTGACCGGACAACTAAGGGTATGAATATTTTTTACAGTAAATAAAATAATTCATTTATTTATCTTTTATTTTGTTGAAAAAAAAAAACAAACTTTGCATGCAACAGAACGATAACATGCGGTCTTGGCTAGTTAGATCATTCCATTATATTAGAGTACTTTAGTAGATGATGCGTTAACATCGTTTGTTCTTCACTGCAAAAGACGACGAAAAGCTTAGTCCAAGCGAAACAAAATATAAACTTGGTGTACAAATTTTCAATCAACCGAGTACCGCTGTAACACCGAAAAGAAGTTCGAGATGGGACGTCGGTTGTTCCTCTGGATCAAATGAAAATTCGGCTGAGCGAATTTCTCCTCCAAAATTCTTTTTTTGACCAAATTGCATAGCTTATAATGCTGCATCCTTACCACGAGTCAACGAAGAAGAAAATGGTCTAAAAAATGATTCAAAAATTGTTCCTACAATAGATGATGAAAGCACGCCAAAAGATCAATTACCGAAGAGTCTATGAACTCAGAAACGAAGTCTGAAACTGATCTAGAAAAATCGGATAAAATTGAATGTTCAGTGTCTTTTGGAAAAGAAACCCCCAAGATGATAGATACAATAGAAAACAGTGATTCTTCAGAACCAATGCAGATTGCAACGCAAGCGGATCCAGAGCTCTCTTGGTTGCAAACAGCCTAGTCTGATGATGCTGTAGATAATGCACAATGCACAATAACTAATTCTCGCGTTTCATTTAACTGTACTTCCCCTTGAGACATGTATATTTCATAAACGGCGAGAACTTCATTGATTGAGTTGTTAACACTTCGAGGATAATAGTTAAAAATACTTGACGTTGCACTTCTGGTGTCCGAGCATATTAAACAAAAATCACCAGAAGTGCAACGTCAAGTACTTTTTCGTTTTATTTGGTTTATTTTATTTGTTTATTTTTTTTATTTTTTACCTTTAAATGTGACTTTAGTTACACATCTTGCAGCGCTTTTTTTTTCTATTGTAAATTGATTTACTTGAATTTTTTAAATCGAATTACTCGCATTTTGTTTTGATTTAATTACTCGAATTTTAGATAGAATTACTTGAATTGTTTAATGTTAAATTCTATTTTTAATATTCATAAAGACGTTACACATCTTACAGCTGTTCTTATACAGCTGATTTTGTTTTCTATTGTAATTTTAATCAATTTTAATAAAACTGATTTTTCGATTTATTCCGTAGTCAATACCTTCCGATTAATTGTGATTTCGTTTATTGAGTGTCGAGGCCGCTTGCGCGGCCTCTACTTACATTAAGTTCCGTTTCAAAACGAATTCAAGTTTAATTCAAATTTTCGATTTAGTTTTAATAATTTTGAACTTAAGGTTTGGTTGGGGTTGCCGAGGCCGCTCCGCGGCCTCGACATATTACCATCCTTCACCAACAAATTTGTAGTTATATTTATACGTCAATTTCTATAACAATTAGCCCACCAGAACACTACGATTTATGATTTACGATTGTAGACATGTGCGCGAAGCTATACAATAAAACAACTCGAGTTATTATTTGACCGATCCACACGCATGAAAACGCAACGCCCGAGCGAGAGACAGAGACGCAGGTACAGAGATACACAACGCTACATTGTACGTTTCATAGACATGAGTGCTGACTGCCGAGTACTGCTCACCTGTGCTGTGCGTGTCACAGCAGAAGCGCGCAAGCAGTCACTCGACACTGCCTAGCGTAGACCAATCATAGCGCGAGAAGCAAACAGACGCTACTGAGACTAAAAACCTACGATTATCGCGCTCGCTCGCTCGCTCGTTTTTCACGGATTCACTAGCCTACCTAACGAGCCATAAGACGTTACACATCAAAAAACTCGATATTATATTAATACAGTATACGAAAGCTCCATGATTGATTAAATTTTCCTGATGGAATCATCAATTCTGCCATCGTTGACCGGCTGGTCTCGGTAAAAACTCATCAAGAGCCAAGCAGTAGCTGCTTTACGGGATATATATACCTGCCACTTGTACCGCTTCACTCGCGCTAAAAGCCAAAAATATAAATCATCTTACCTCAAGCACGTATACAAGATATAATTACGCTTAAACACGCAAATTATATGCTACAATGCGTAAATTTGCACATGAAAGAAGTGCGTATATTTACTGCAGTACGAATGTATAGATGATCGCGGCTCGGCTTACACACGAGTAAAAGGAATGAATATAATAAGCGAACCACATATTGTAATCCCCAATTAAAATATCCCAACAGTGCTACGCAGAGCTTATAGAGACAGATTCGAGATCTGCCGAGAGAGAGAGAGAGAAAAAGAGAATTACCCCACACTAGAGAGAAAAAGAGAAAAAAGTAACGTAATAAAGTCTCTCTCTCCTCGTTCGCATTGCGGGTTTGAAATCATGCGTGAAATGAGATAACGATCCCGCTTTTGGGTCGTTATCGCGCACCCTCTTCCAAAGGTTAGTAGCAGTTGTTTAAGCTATAAAAAGCCTCGTCGACATTTGCGGGCTGTATAAGCCACTTTGTTGTGTGCTCTTTAAAAAACGACTCAATCGAACGAACGAGGCGCGCGACGACACATCGGCTTATGGTGTTTTCATGCGGCAGCATAAAAAACACGATCATCGTCATACATATAGGAAATATATTACATATTATATCCGTAAAAAGTCGAACCGCATCGAGGCTCTAACGTAAACGTAGCACGGGGTGTAATCGGATTTTTTGTGCAGTACTTTATACACAGAGGCGGAGCGTCGAACGGCTCGCGAGGCCGCACGCGCCACCCCTCGATATATGCAACATGTTGGAATAATAAAACACGTTATACAGTATGTATAATACCTGTGCTGGTATACGCGCGTGCACGTTAATTCCGGGCCACTTTTCTTATGCCACGGGATCGCGCCGGGCCCC